ACGGTGGTGCGGTGTAGAAATCTGGTAAGCGAACTTGCAAAAATGACTAGATCATACAATTTCATTTTATTTATTAGCTTACTCCTGGCGATCGGCTTGGGTTAGGTTACAAGTAAGCTTACAATTTAATTTCTAAACACATACTTGTCGTTTTTATTTTAATGAAATCATTTTCGTGGTATTCATAGATGACTTGCAGAATCTCAAGCTTATGTACATGTACATTGCCTTTTTCTTTGTCGATGAAATTATGTTGCATGAAGATTATCGATCGTGAGTTTAACCAATAAGCTTAGGTCACAAAGGTATTTATTATTACAAGTTATTACTGTTCAGTAATTTGAAATACCAGTTGCACTGCAATCTGCAACCTGGGACAGCCTTGTTCTGGGACTGTTACAGTGCAGTGTTACCTGAGTTTTAATGCATACATGTACATATCAACATTAATCGTACTATCATATACTTACTGAGTTATTTTAGTAATAGCTAATTGTGCTGTTGAAGTGGCAGCACAACTACTCTTTTTGACTAGAACGCCTGTGTGTAAGGCTCTGTGCTGGTGGTCGCCGACTTCTCTCTGCTGACAGAATGTCATGTCCAATAGTCCGGGCTAGTGGATTTCTATACTAAGTTGCTTGTGCAGGAGTTTCATTAACAGGGTTGCCACAGATCAGAAAATGTTCAGGGAAAAAAGAAATTCTTCGAGGTCAAGGAAAAGTTAGGGAATTTTATTCTGAGTCAGGGAAAGTTGAGATTTTAAAGTATTAAAAGTCAGAAAAAATTGAAATAATTTTAACTCGGCAGATTTAATACCATTGAAGGCTGGAAGAAACATTTGGGGTCACTGCGATCTCAACAATAATTTTTCCTTGATGAAGAAGGAACATTTGTTGAAAACGTATTGGTCTTGATAAATGAGTTGAAAGGACAGTAGTAAGGGGAAGCTTGAAGCCTCTAGTATATCTGCCATTCTGCCATTTCGTATTTATATGATCAGGGAAATTTTATTTTTATCAGGGAAAAGATAGGGAATTTTTAACAAAGTGATGTTTGTGGCAACTGTCTATGATCAAGGGTCAGGCACCACCCAAATTGACTGTCTGCAATGTTGATTTTGTTCGCCTGGTTTGACCATCTAGAGGAAAGGTTTTCTTATAAAGAAGTTCTGTTCAAAAAGCTTTCCCCGCCTGCAAAAACCAGTTGGCTTCTTGATGAAAATGTTAATGAAGCCCCTGTTTGTGTGATTTGACTTTTTAGAGAAAGAACTTTGAGAAAATTCAAATTACAGAAGTTCAGTGAGAGGTGAAAGTATTGTATTAGACAGTTAATTTTGTAGATTAATAGCGAAGCGCGTGAGTGACGTCATAATTCAGACAAACAAGACGGAATGGTGAAAGATTGGACGCTTTTTCAAGTGCGTAAGCTAGTGTTCCTAAGACAATTTTTAAAACGAAAATTTGACGTTCATTTTCTTCCTATTTCTCTCAGAACACGCTTATGTTGGCTGACTCTCGCGGGGTTCCAATAATTTGTATTCTATTTTTAGACTTTGTAGGCTTCGTTATTTAGTAATTGTGCCAGTAAGAATTTTTTTTGGGGGGGGGAGCTAGTAGGAATGAATTTTGTGCTTGCAAGCACATTATGGTTACAGCTTACCTTAAAGAAAGCCTAAAAATTGGTTTTCTTTACATGCTTTGTACATGCTAAGACTTGAAAATAAGTTGCTCATCAGATTTCTTTTTATTAATTTCACAGAAAGGCTCAAAAGGCGATTCTCTAAACTCCATGGTAAGGCTCGAGTTTGGAGCTAATCTGCTTGGAGAATCACCCAAAGTTGAAGCCAACACAGACACTCACAGCACAGAGTACAATTTCAATGCTTCATTTGATTGTACTTTTGAAGACGCTTCTTCCTTGGATTCTATATCATATAAACCTGTTATAGGTTAGTGTTTGTTTAATTTTGATATTTAACAGGTAATCACACCTAAATTTATAAATTATTAGCCAATCAGAAGCCTTGTCTGCTATTCTGATATCCTGCAAAATCAAATAAGACCTCATAGGATGAAATATATGGTCAAAGTTCAGTAAACACTCATATGGCGGGGACTAATGGTTGTTTTTGGTGGCATAAAATTAATTTTGGTCTCACCATGGGTATGTTGCGTAGACCAAACTTACCTGATATACCATCAAAGCATGCCAAAAAAGGCTCCATTACATATAATAATTTTATAATTTTAGTTTTTTGTACAGCTAGCCTGAGGTGAGTCAAATGTCTCTTCACACAGTCACATTTTTTTCGTGTTTGAGAGGCATATCTGAGATTAAGGCAGCTGGCAATAGTAACCAGCCCTTTCCCAACAGCTATACTTTGAAGGATCAATACTACCACTCTTTATCATGTGATGCCACGATATTGGTATCACACAAATGCCCAGCCATTGGTAAACCAAGAATGGTAATCTTCATGGCGTAATAGGTTACCATAGCAACAATACAACCTGTTAGAAACACCCTTAATTTTGCGTGGTGGTAAAGAATTGTATGGCAATAAAGTCACTTTATAAGACTATTCTGGTACGATTATTGTTAATAGCTGTAATTACTTATTTACTCCCTGTATTATTGTTACTGCTTTTTACCACTTCTTACAGTCACTGTTGTTGAGGTCCTACCAAAGGACAAGAAAGGAAAAGAGGAGAAAATAAATATTTTGGGTCAATCCTGTGTTGATTTACTGCCTCTACTTCATGGTGAGCAATCAATTCAAAGTAGAATGATTTAACTCTGTATTGTGGTGTTGTGGTCGTACCAGTTTGGTACGTAAACAAGAGAAATACATGTACTGGACATTATACATTGATCATTTTTGCACATGCTTTTGGTCTAGACATTTCAGTCCTTCTTGCTCCTACCAAAATGTAAAAGAACTGCTACTGGTGCCTGTAACTTGCCTCTAACTCCAACTTTGCTCTACTGTCTCTCACTTTACCACTCAATTCCCCTTGTCCCCTTTGGTTTTCCCCCGATGTTCTCTTACACGAGAACACTTTTTTTTACCTCCTGTTCTTTTTGTTTTTTAAAGGCGAAACCAAGTTCAGTGTTTTGCAGTCTGTGCACCCAGTTATTGTACCAGCTGAAACAGCAACCACAGAACAAATTCTGGTAAGTGTGCAAGGTACAGTGTGACCTTACAGTATCTGTGAACACCCCACTATAGTTACTTTTAATCTGTAGTTTGTCTTCTCTGGCTTCCACAAGTTAGCCCAAGTTTAATTGCAGAAAAAAAAAAATTGTATGTTTACTTTAAATATTTTTGTGTTTATTAAATTTGTTTCTTTACATGATTTTAGCCTGAAATTGAGGTGCAAGTGTCTGTGGTCCAGCCTCTTCTGACAGAAACACAGCTGAATAACAGGTTTGTAAAAATTCAGTGTTATTTGAAATAAAGACAGTCAAGTCTTTTGTCTGTCAAGAGAATTTTACTTGCAGCCTACTGTAGCTAACCACATTGTTGTGCAAGCTTATTACAAACCAGTGGCTGTCAACAGCTGTAATCTGCTTTGTAATATGTATAGTACTTACCAGGGCTGTCAATAAGGGCTGTAACCCGTTACACCTGTTTACAGCTGAGTATGTTTGATGGACCCTTGATGTTAGGGGTGAATTGGCCTGTAGTTGATACAATTCACCTATAAAGTAACAAGTTTGCTACAGGTGTGAAGATCAAGGCTACAGGTGAATTAAAACTTAATGACAGCCCTACTTACCACTTCCACTGTACACAAAACGTTTTTGTGTGTGTTTATTGACAGCAATCTGCTGAGTGTCCATGTGGATAGCGCGTTTTCTGTACCAGACTCATGGCAGATTCAAATGGCTCAGCAGTTTAATTACACTGCTAGCCTTCCAATACCAGTCTCCAGTGAGGTAAGATCAAGCCTTGATATCAATATATTGAAATTCTCAAAATGTAGAATCATGTAATTTATAAGGTTAGAAAAAAGGACAAAATACACAATTTTGTACATAGACCACATCTATGATGGTGAAAATTAACAAGTATTACAAATGAAGAACTTACAAAGAGTAGGATAAGTTTAGAGACGGACCTGTTTCCTGCGCAGCGAAAACTGCTGAAAAAAAAAAATCGTGCAAGGCGAGTCATGGCAAAGACGGACACCCATGCTTCATCACAAAGATTTCCTGACTTTTGCTAATTAGTGATTGACTAATAAAATGACTACTAATTATTTCAATTTCAATTGAGTAACTTTCTTTTTTCTAAAAACCACGCTTTTACAGAAGGAGAATACAATAGTGTTGTCTAATGGCATTCTTCGCGCCCCAGGCGAAAAGGTGAGCATTTGGTTTCCGAGCTTGAAGTAGCGTAACGGAAAAGTAAACGATACATGCAAGTAAGTCAGACTCTTTTTCTTTTTTTTTTTTTTTTTTTTATTTTTCGGAGGAAAACTCAAGAGTGTTTGGCACGAGAATCCGAGTGATTTCTTCTCGTTTTAAACGTTGATTCACGTCATTAATACAATTGTTTATGGTTGGNTTTTTTTTTTTTTTTTTTTTTTTTTTTTTTTTTTCAATGGCACGCGTAGGAAAAATCAAGCGGAAATTAAAAGTGTTTGGCACGAGAATCCGAGTGATTCGTTCTCGTTTTAAACGTTGATTCACGTCATTAATACGATTTTTTATGGTTGTTTCATGCGTGGAGAACTTTATTCTGCCAGTAAGCATTGCGGAAAGAATTTGCTTACTTACACGCGCACGTTTTAATATCCGGGATCATATTCTTGCCATTGATACCCGTATATACACTGTTGGAGTGTAAAAACGTTTTCTCTCTTCCTTTTCTGAAGTCTTGTTTCATTTACGATATTTTCAAAAAAATGTTTTCCGTCCGCACTAAAACGCAAAGCCAGCGTTTTCAAATTCCTCCAGTTTGAAGAGCATTCTCGAAAAGCTCCGTTTTCGTGACGGATTAAGTGTGGACGGTAGACCTAACCGTAGAAATAAAGCTGCGTTTTCAAATTTCTCCGGCGTAGTGGGGAAGGGGCCTTATTTCCAACAGTAAACATTTCAACATTTTGATCAAGGTTTGTTTGAACTCACCAGGAAACTATGAATCAACGCAAATGGTCCGCTGCTCCGAGTGCCTCTGGTTCGTGCCTGTATATCGCTGACAGGTAAGTGTTGAATTTACTTGCAGCGTCCAGTCAGAAACAAGAACGTAGATCAGTAAGGCTGTCAGTAGCTAAACCAGAGAGTTTGTACAGAAGTTTGCAAGGTCGAACATCTTACACCTCTCCAAAATGACCTCAGTCACGGTATTACGAGTTAATTTGGCAATGAACAAAATTTCCTTTAAATTGAAGGAAACCTGAAAATTGTATTTTACTAAGATAGAAAAACACCAAAGAGTTAATAATAAACCATAAAGGAAAAAGGATGGTTGAAGATGGAGAAGGTTAACTCGGATTTCAAACCAGGAACTTGAAAAATTTAGGCTATACTTTTCAAGCTATGCAGACCATGACTAGCTCCTGTTATTCTCCACCGGGGTTATTCAAATTATTCAAAATAGAACGACCAGAGAAGTGCAAACTAAATTTACCATAGTTAGTTCTAGCACAATCGATACAGTGAAGTTGATTTTGATGCTAGCCTAGTATTATAATTGTGCTTAGATGATATAAGTGCGAATCGTGCCAGAACTCGTAATCAACATCGTCGCAAATCGCATATACTGTAGCAACTGTAAGTAATATTACACTATTCTTGTGCACATCTGTGAAAAAAATAGCAAATAAAAAATGGAACCTTTTGTGTTTCAGTACCATCGAAGATACGCCGTTTGAAGATGAAGATGGCGATCTTAGAGACAGAGAGGATGTCGCGTTTCGTCAGGAAGCTATCAACGAAAAGAACCATGTGACGTGGAATGCAGAAAGACGGTGTTTTATCAGTGCAGAGGCTGCTGAAAGGTGAAATTCTGTTAACTTCTTACTGTGTAGTCACCATGCTAAAGTTCTTATTTTAATTACAATAGAGCCTCGTCTTACAACGGTTCCTCGCTATTTCAACCATTATAAAATTCTTAGGGAGTGAGAGAAAAGTTCTGTCGCTCACTGATTTTCTAATTTTGGAAGTTCCCTTTAGTTTTGGCGTCAGACTTAACGTTGTAAAACCCGTTCGTTCGCCCGTTCGCCCGTTCGCCCGTTCGCCCGTTCGCCCGTTCGCCCGTTCGCCCGTTCGCCCGTTCGCCCGTTCGCCCGTTCGCCCGTTCGCCTGTTTTCTCGTTCGCTCGTTCTCTCATTCGCTCTTTCTCCTTATCCCAACGCCTTAACCCAAAACAAAACTGTAGCCTCAATATTTTTTTCTTTTTCCAGTTTGCAGAACAAGATAGCTCAAAATCGTTTCTGGCCTGTGGAAATAATGAGGACACCAGTTCAGCAGGTCACTAAGGCGAAAGGAAAACAGGGTTCATTAGAGGAGGATATCCCGATCTCCTTCCACGGAGTGGCGTATGTCAATATGGCGCCCTTACTCTACCCTGGAGTAAAGAGGTTTGTTTCTGTAGTTACCAAAATCAAAAGCGTTTGTGAGTTTTTCCGCAAGCTTTCGCAAATTAAACCTACCACTCTTTGCTAGTTGCATGCTAGTTGCTAGTTGTTGACNTGGACGTTTTGCTCCTACTAGTCATCAAGATATTCCCCTCTCTCGAACTGACGTTAGTCTCATCTATACGAAATGTCATGGCTGCGAATCCAGTTAAATCCTGCATTGTTGCAAGCTATTCTCATTTATTCGAACTGCATTTATTTGCATAAGTCTTCCCAATTTTTGTTGATATCCTAGTCATATTTCGTGCTTTAAAAGCAATGTATTGCTGTATTTTCTGACGGTGGCTCGTTTGAGCATCGAAGTTGTTTTCTCCTTATACTCTCCTCCTCTTCGGCCACGTCCGCAATCGTACGTTTTTTTTAAAAATTTCTTCCTCTCTCTATGTCATGGTAAATTTTTGCCCCCTTTTTTTGTTAGCTTTAGTCAACGAAGAGTTCCATTTTAATGAATGTGACAAAATGAGTTTCTGCGCAAGTTATATATATATTTTTTTCATCCTCAGTTAATGGATATGATTCTTTACATAAATTCCTTCTGATCCCAGTTTTATTTCATGAGGAGTAACGATCATTGCTGTCATCTTTTGTTTTTCTTATCCACAGCAATACCTCGAATCACGAACGTTTATCACGTTAGAGTTTGTCCTCGACAAGCCGCTGGTACCAAAGAGGCCGCCATCTTCGCTGGCAAGGAAGTAAGTTGGCGAGACGTTATTGTTGACAATAGAGCTGATTTCAGTTGTTTGCCGTAAAAGCAAAGCATTTACTTTGTACAGGCACAATGAATTATCCATGAGTCCAGGGGTTTCATTAAGGGTCGGGTATTAGGCAAATTGACCGGCTGTGATTTTGATTTTGCTCGCCTGGTTTTACCATCTATAGCTAGAGGAAAGTTTTTCTTATAAAGATGTTCATTTCGAAGAGACTTGTCCTCCTGTGAAAAACAGTTGCCCTGCTGCTGAAAACGTTAATGAAATCCGGGCTGCCATGAGAACTCAGAGCAAAGACGCTTAACAACAGCCAAACGGCATATAACATCATCGCATGCATGCATACCTCCATTTGTTGTGTAACTTAGTTTTATCCTGCTTGGTTATTTACTGTAGTGATAATGTAGTATTGTGTGGTTGTTACTTTTGAGTTGTCATTATGTGTAATATTGTAATTGTGCAGTAGGGTGTAGTTATTTGTAATTTTTATGCTGTAATATCTACGTGTCAGAAATTAATAAAAATCACTGAATTACAAAAAAAATAAAATAAAATATATAAGATCATTACATAATCAAGCGTACCAGCCGTAGGAATTTTAAGGGTGATTGCCTTTGAATGATATTTTAACAAGTTCTCCTAACTGTTACTGTAAGAATTTCTAGAGAGGAGTAGAGAGAATTTGAAAGTTAGCCTAGATTTGGACCTAAGGGGCTAGTGTGAGACTATTGTTACAGCCCTGAAGTCGTGCTTTATTTCCACATACATACATACATACATATGTTATATACTAAATCCTTTCTCGCCTCGTAGAGTTGCTGAGTACATCCCTCCACGGCCCGTATTTGCCCGCAAACCAGGAGGTTCCAAAAAGGTGAGGACAGACGGTTGAATTCGACACCAGTAGCAACTTAAAAAACCTTATGGTAGCTCAGTCACGGTATTTTGAGTTGTTTTGGCTAAGCAAAAAATTACCTTTACATTGAAGGAAACCTGAAAATAGTAGTTTACTAGGATAAAAAAACACTTAAGAGTAAATAGTAAACCATTAGCTAGCAAGGATGGTTAAGGATGGAGAAGTTTGACACGGATTTTAAACGACGAACTTGAAAAATGTAGGCTAAACATTTCAAGATGCGCAAAATGTGCCGCCGCTCCTTTAAATCCAGATTAGACCATGACGAATGCCGAGGAAAGTTGTGGGGTGGACCTAGAAGGTTCAGGGTTTTTTTAAACCCTCGTCGATTATCACCAGTGGTCGTTGAAAAAACCTTATAATTAGGAAGTTTTCCGCCTGAATCAGTTCTCGTTGACTCATGAAAATGTGAACTGGTTTAGACTTACGATGGGAGCACGACAGGGCTTGCCTGCTAAAGCATGTTTTAGGATGAGGGGTGGAGAAAGAAAAACACCAAGGTGGAGAATTTGAATTTTGAATTCTCTTGAAATTCGCTTCAAATCTGGACTCTTGTTCTCGATCAATCTAGCGTTCAACGTATTCATGATGTCTTGTACACTGTGTGTTGTTTTATGCATACATGCATGTAGAACACACTTTGATCTACAGCATCCGTTTGCGGATAATATGCAAGTCCAACTGACCTTATATTTTACAGGCTGTAGAGGACTTCCATGCTCAGCTGACCACAGTGGCAAACTCCCTTCTGGAGGAATTCAGGTCTGTGAGTCAAATGCCTTCATTGGCAAATCCTTAAACTCGTTAAGACGTTTTCTTGTTGATTTTTCTCTTTCGTTTTTTTTTCCCTCTCTTTTTTCCAAACTCCCTCGCTTCCAACTCCACCCCATACCCTCGAAGGAACAAAAAAAGGAAAAGTAAAAAAAAAAAAAAAAAAATAGCGAACAGACAAGCAAGAACAAACTGTAAGAGAGAGAATTTTTTTACAATCTAAGTAGAGTATGGAACTAAATGATCATTCAGTGCTAGATTTCTAGATACAGACAAAACAAAAATGACGTTAGAAGCTCCGAAAAGAGTAATAACACGCTTAATAAACTAACTTGTTTTATGTCTTAGACAAATGTACGGCGATGATTTAATGAAAGGAGATCTACCACAGTCAAACGATGCCATGGATCAAAGGTACTTTTCTTAGTACACCCATATTGGATAACAAAATTCCGTGTAATCTGCCTTGGTTTGTTTTTAAAAAGGCTGTATAGTGCTTTGGTCAAATCACTACCAAGTAGATAGGGTTATCCTGTCTGTAAACCGTAATATCGAAAGTTGTTCACGGTCTGAGTTGCAAACAGTACAGTGACAAAACAAATATATACAGTGTATATGAGCAAAATAAACAGGCAAGCCAAATGAAGCTGGCTTCAGGCGTAGAAGACTTTTTTTTCTCTTTTTGTGCAGGAGGCAGAAGTTCCTTTACGAGCTGAATACGTCCGGAAAATACTTCGCATTCAAAGAGCAACTGAAGGTAAACCAGAGTACAATTATGAACTGAAGGGTGCGTTAATTTAATATGTTTCCCTTTAGTACCCGGGGGGTAGGGGGGGGGGGCTACTCTACAAAGTTCTATACGGGGAGGCTCCATCCCGAGGTTCAACCCCTTACCCTGTTGTATACTATTTTGACAGAAAAGGAACCCCTTTTGTATACATACTCTCATAACTGGTCCCTCTTATGAATAAATCGTCAAAGAATGAAGTCTTTTGTGGAGTGCCTAACAAATAAAATGATACAGCCATAAGGTGCGTCTGTTCAAAATATTTTAATTAAAGACCCTATAAAATAACTAAATGACAGATTTCCCTACCCTTCCATGTACCTCAACTTATGAAATCCCTGCCCTTTTAAATACCTGAAGGCTGAAAACGGCACCCCTTTCGGACGGAGCCTCCCAGTATAGGTCATTATAAGGAGTACCCCCCCGGCTTTACTATCCTTACCAATTCAGTATGTCTTTACTTTTTGCTTCGCACTCCTCTCTCCTACATTTCAAGGTCCTCTTATCTAACTAGGCCTCTTTTATTAGGAAAAGGAAAAGAAATTGAATTAACTTCCCTTAGCATGGATTCTACGATCAGAAGAACTGATTGATTGTCGCTCAAAGTTCATAACGTTTTAATCAATGCGAGTGATATTGTCTGGTTTTTCGTATAAGGTTGTGTCCTTTGTATTTCCATCCATTTTTTCTATGAATTCAATTTAAATAAAACGGAACGTCGAATAACGTTACCCCTTATATTTCTTGTTAAATACTTTAACAAGCTACTGACCATTCGATCAATTTGATTTGTTGTTTCTTTTTGGCTATCCATCTCTCTTATAAGGCCCCACCTGAGGAGGGGGGTCTCTTATCAGGCCCCACCTGAGGAGGGGGGCCTGTTATCAGGCCCCACCTGAGGAGGGGGGTCTCTTATCAGGCTCCACCTGAGGAGGGGGGCCTCTTATCAGGCCCCACCTGAGGAGGGGGGCCGCTTATCATGCCCCACCTCTCTTATGAGGCCCCACCTTTGAGGATGACCTCAAGGCTTGTGGATAGGAGTTAAACCGTCAAATGGCACGTTATGCATCACATTTCGCGCGCAAAGTCATCCCATTTCACGAATTAGACATTACATTTCACGCATTTTACCTTACACAGCTCATTATTAACATCTTGTGTATTGCTGGCGTTTGCTTCAAAGCTGTTTACCGAGGCGTTGTGTTTTCGACCAACAGAACAGCGTCATAAAGACTGTGCGAGAGAAGTATTTAAACACCACAGCTTTTACAGACAAGGAGAAACTCCAGGCATTCCTCAGCGAGTTGTACGTTTTTCTAATCGACCAGATGCACGTCGCCTTAAACAAGGTAATTTGACATTGTTGGTTGCTGTTACTCGATGTATACCACACTGATCTCAAGCTTCTCAAAAAGTCGATCACCCCCCAGAACGGTTGCTTGGTAACCTGGCAAACCATATGACGTCATGCTGACGTGGTAACTCTTGTGCGTGCGACACTCTTGCCCATTGTTCGCGCGGCCATGTTTAGCTATGTTTTGTTCTTGCTTCTTTTCCGGTTCTCTCACAGCTAACTGAGAGAAAAGCGGGACTACTCGTAGTCTGAATAGTGGATCACCCATTTCAACAGAAATCAAAGCTGCAGAACCCCCGTTGCAATTGGGTGAATTGAACCCTTCTAAAAGTGTCCCGTGCAAAACTTTCTTAACGCAGTTAATACATCCCTCTGGGAGGGTGTAAGGGTGTAAGCCAGTTCGCCGATGTACTATACTTTTTGTCGTGTTTACAATTTCAGTTTCTAACAGCGGAAGAGGCTCCAGAAGAACCTCCGCCTGTCACGGACTCTGCAACTCTCAAACACTTCGCAAGAGAAGCCGAGGTAGATCATGATTGATTGTGTGACAGCTACTTTGTCACGCTATATTCGCGAAGGAAGTTTTGCTCGTTCGTGGTTTTGTAAAATAAATGCGTTGTCACAAATGCGTCTATTTCAATTTCTTTTCTATTTCTTTGTAGGTGAACCAAAACTTTGAGCTGGCTGCCAAGTACTACCAAGAGGTATTTGTTATAACTTGTTTGTTTTTTTGTTTATTCGTTCCAGTCACAAAAGGAAACGTCTGGCTGTTGCGTTTGATTGAGACATTTCTAACTGCCTTTAAAAGGGAGACAGTTTATTATCATTAATGTAGCTTACTTTCTTTGCTTCGTAAGCGGTTATCTCGGAACAAGAACGACCCTGATCATTGGTTCGATTACGGAGCATTTTGTTTACTTATCGGTGATTACGGAAAGGTAAGGGAACATGATGTATAAACTGTTGGTCATATGCCAAGCGCTGAGTGGATGCTTAGATGTTTTCTATGATACTGTGTACATACCGTCCGTTGTATCTAAGTGCGAACATGTTATGAAGAAACACTAGGCAGTTCAAGAAAACCACGACGGCAACGGCAACGTCACTAAACGAGTGATTTAATGAGCAGAACAATGGCTTTGCACGTGCGTTATAATTCTTTGTATATTTCTTTACCGTCCTCTCTAAAACAACAACATGAAAAGTTCTGCGTAGTCTGAGGAACGCAAACGACGACGGCTAATTTTTCGCTCCCCATTTGGAATCGAATGCTGTCATTGCATATTTAGCCTGAGCACGTTTTTAGAGCCATTGACGTACTGAACAGATCTACACAATTGTGAATTTCGCTGGTAAAATATAAACTCGTTTTTTACTAGGCGTCGTCCTCCTCTGTTAGGGAGCTTAAGCAACGACGACGGAGACTGAGGTCCCAAGTTCAAATCGTCCTCCTGGCCACTAAATAGATTTGTGTTTGGTGAAACCGAATTTAACTCCTCCATGCTTTGTAAATAACCAGCTGATCAGCCTCCTGACAGTTAGGATTCTTTCTTGCAATGACGACGGCGACCCCGAGGACAACGCGTAGTAAAAAATGAATTTTTATTTTATCTTCGAATTTCGCAATTGTCTAGATCTATTCAGTGTGTCTATTGGTCTCAGCAGAAGCATATCACAACTTGCTCAAGCTAAACATGTAACGCCAGCGTTTAATTCCAAATGGAAATACGAAAAATTAGTCGCCGTCGTTCGCGTTCTTCAAAATACGGAGAACTCAGGCCCCGTCCAAGCGTATGCGGATATTTTTGAATCCGCAACTTTTTCTTTCCGGATTCAAATATTACCCCGTCCACACGTGGCAAAAATATCCGGAGTCGCTGCCGAACTCGCCGGAG